GACCTGAGCCAAAGTCAGACGCTTAACTGACTGAGCCACCCAGGCATCCCTGTATGTGTTTTTTAATTATACAAAGAAGATCACTACTTACAGCAATTCTAAACTTGTATGCACCTAACAATATAACCCCCAAATATAAAAAACAGAAATGAATTATAAGGAATTAAAAGAAGTTATAAGAAAGAACTGGCAAATAGCAACCATGTGGGAGATTTTAACATGCCTCCTTCAGCAATTGATAGCTTGATCTAATGACATACACAGAACATAGTGAACCCTACACCCAACATAAACAGGCTATATATTCCTTTCAAGTACATTTGCAACAATCATAAAAATTATCCTCAATAAGACCACAAAGGAAATGTAAATAAATAACAAGTAATTGATATCCATACAGACCATTCTCTAACTTCAATATAATATAATTAAAAATCAATCAGTAAAATTTAACTAAATCCCCAAGTATTTGGGGGGAAATCTAATGTGTTCCCCAAACATATGAGGATTTCATGTTTATGTAGTATTCACAGATACTACCTGTAGAATGTCCCTAAACTATTCAAATTCAAATCTATATAATTAGAAGGCTGAAAATTAACAGTATCAAGAAGGTACCAAAACAAAATAAAAAAATGGAACTAAAAAGAAGGCAATGCCAAAGATAAGAGTTAACATTAAGGAAATAGGAAACAGAGATCCATAGTGAGGACTAATAAAACCAAATATCTAGTTCTTCAAAAAGACTACTAAAGCAGATAGACCCCAAGGAAAAAAAGAGAGAACGAACAAGGAAAAATATTAGTAAAAATACCAACAGGAGATTTTTAAAGATTACAGGGAAAATATGAACTTTTATGCCAATAAATTGGAAAGTTTATTTAGATAATAATTTCCTACAAAAAATATCACATAAAAATTGATTCAAAAAGAAATAGAAAAACAGGTTATAAAAAATTCATCCATGTTTTCATCTGGCACTTGTTTCACTTTTTACATTTAAATCTTCTGATTCATTTGGAGTCATTTTGGTACATGGTGTGAACCATGGCTCCAATTTTATATCCTGATGGCTATCCAGTTGTTATACCCTATCACTCAATTTATTCAGTTATTAAATAATATAACTTTTCCCCACTGATTTTAAATGGCATTTCTGTTAAATGTTAAAATCCCAAATGCAGGGTTTATTTCCAGACTTTATATTCCATTTAATTGGTCTGTCCCTTTTTTCTTTTCTGTTTTAAACGCTTTATAATATGTTGTGCTATCTAATAGGCTTTTGATATTAAAACCAGATATTATAAGGAATGTAAAGTATATACACCTAGGTTACCTAAATATGGCTATAAAAATCCTCAATAAAATACAGGCAAACTGAATCAAGCAATCTATAAGCAAGCAATACATCATGATCAAGCAGGGTATGTGTCAGGAATACAAAGATGATTTAATCTTCAACATTCTATCGGTACAATTCGCCATCTCTTATCTAAAGGAGAAAACCATTTCATCATCTCATGAACTTCAGAAAAACTATTTAGTTCATCTCATGAACTTCAGAAATACTAATTTTAAGAAAACTCTTAGCAAACTAGGGGCACCTGGATGGCTCAGTCAAATAAGTGTCCAACTCTTGATTTTGGCTCAGGTCATGATCTCACCATCATGAGATCGAGCCCCACCTCAGGCTCTGCACTGGGCATGGAGCCTGCTTAAGACTTTCTCTCTCCCTCTGCCTCTCTCTCTCTCTAAAAAAAAATAAAGAGGGGCACCTGGGTGGCTCAGTCGGTTGAGTGTCCAACTTCGGCTCAGGTCATGATCTTATGGTTCATGGATTCAAGCCCCGAGTCAGGCTTTGTGCAGATAGCTCAGAGCCTGGAGCCTACTTTGGATTCTGTGTCTCTCCCTGCCCCTGCCCCATTCATGCTTGCTCGCTCTCTCTCTCTCTCTCTCTCCCTCTTAAAAATAAACATTAAAATTTTTTTTAATAAAGAAGAAAAGAAAACTCTCAGCAAACTAGTTTAAAAGAGAACTTATCTTAATAATAGGTATCTACCCAAACCTATGATAAACATTGCATTTCATGGTAAAACTTTAGAAGCACTGGAGATGCCTACTATCCCCACGCCTGTACATTGTGCTGGAGATCTTAGTACAATGTAACAAGAAAATAAAAAAGTGTATGAATTGGGAAGGGGAAAAAATAGCATTATTCACAGATAATAAAATTCTTTACATAGAGAATCTACATCTATGAGAATCTACAGTCAAATTACCATGAAAGTTAACCAGAGACAAAACAATAGTGTTCCTGAATACCAGCAATGAACAATGAGAAAATGTGACTTTTCAAAGAAACCATTTAAAACAGCAACAGAAACTACAAGGTGTCTTAGAATAAACCCATTCAAAGATGTGTAAGACTTTACGTAGAGATTATATTTTATTAACAGACATAAAAGTCTGCATAAGTGGAAGTATACACCATATTCACAGGTCTGAAGAGTTACTATCATAAAGATGACAATTTAAGGGGCACCTGGGTGGCTCAATTGGTTATGCATCTGACTCTTGATCTCAGCTCAAGTCATGATCTCACGGTTCGTGAGATCAAGCCCCATGTCAGTCTCTGTGCTGACAGTGCAGAGCCAGCTTGGGATTCTCTCTCTTTCCCTCTATCTCTGTCCCTCCCCAGCTCATGCACTCACACGTGCACTCTCTCCCTCTCTCTCAAATAAATAAACTTAAAAAAAAGATTGCAATTTAATTCCACAGTAATCAAGAAATCAAATGGAACTTCAACCTGACAGAGGTTCTTCCTGGAATCTCGAGGAACGTTTACAAGGTGATTCTAAAATTCTTACAAGGATAGACTCACCCAACAAGATATCAGAATTACTATAAAGCTTTGGTACTAGCTCAGGGATCAACAAAAAGACTAACGGAATTGTTATGGACTGAATGTGTACCCCCAAAGTACATATGCTGAAATCCTAACCCCCAGAGTGACTATGCTTACAGATGAGGCCTTTAGAGTTTGCTAGCATTTTACTGAGGCTTTCTACATTTCTGTTCATCAGGGATGATGGTCTGAAATTTTCTTTTCTAGTAGTGTCTTTGCTAGTCTTGGTATCGGGAAAATGCTGGTTTCATAAAATGAGTTTGGGAGTGGCTCCCTCCTTTTCAATTCTTTTGGAAGAGTTTGAGGATTGGTGTCAATTCTCCTCGAGATGTTTGGCAGAAATCACCAGTAAAGCCATCTGGTTCTGAGCTTTTCTTCAGTGGGAGATTTTCTATTACTGATTCACACCAGGAGGAAATATGCATAGGAGACACAGACCAGAGTGTTCGTTGCAGCAGAGTTTGTAATAATAATTTCCTAAAAGGTAGAAACAACCTAATGTCTCTAGTTTGGTTTATTCACAGACTTCATCAGTTAAAATTAATGAATTCAATCTGTGTTCTCAAAATTGATCAATCTCACAAACTTTAAGTTTAAAAAGCCAATGATAGAAGACACCTTTTATTTAAATTTAAATTTGTGAAACGCACAAAATAGTATATACTATTTATGAATATATAATATGGAAGAATATACTAATACACTCTTGGGAAAAGTACCCATCAGTTCCACTGTGTGTAGTTGCCTCTGAGTGAGAGGCATAAAAGGGCCGGAATGGTGACACTGTGTCTTACTCCACAAAGTTTTACTTCTGGCTTTGTTTTCTTTTTTAAGAGATCTAAGCAAATCTTGCAAGATCTTAACATCTGTTTAATCTCAATAGTTCATGGCTGCCAGAGGTGGGAGTGGGGATGAGTGTTCTATTATTTTCTGTATGTTTGAAATGTATTAAAATTCAAAAAACAGCAAAGGAAAAGAAAATGCCCAAGACAAGTAGCCAGGGAAGGTCAACCTGCAGAAAATAGCATCATAGAAACCAAGGGGAAGGGTGGGCCTTACTCAGTGCTGCAGAGCTGGCTGCTGCCCATGGGATTGAGAGGGTGCACCAGCTCTGGGTTAGCATCACCCCATGAGTGACGCGAGAGGAAGCCGGCTCTCTGTGGCCACGCTTTGCCCAACTCTAAGTCTGGCTATGCCAGGGAGTGACAGCAGGTGGTACTTGCAGGGAAAGTAGCCCTTCTGCGCGGTCTGGGAACATCTGGACATTATCAGTAAGGTAAGGGAAACAAGTGTACAGGGCAAGGGTAAGACTGAGGCCACAAGGGATGGGAAGGAAGGCTGCTGATGCAAACAGGGGAGTGTCTAGGAAGTAGCAGGAGGGGCAAGGCAGGGGTTGAAAAGGCAGCCACTGGGCTCCCAACTTAGGGTGGCCGGAATCCAACAGAGCCTCCTGCTAGCAACACAGCCCACCCTCGATCCAGAAAGGAGAGCTGGTCCTGAGAGCATGATGGGGGGTTGTACTCACCGTTAAGTTGTATAGTTGTGCAGTTACTTAAATGAGTATTCAAGGAAAAAAAAATCAAAACATAATTAGCTACTGTGTGACTTCAGGTGAGAGGCAGCAGCAGGGGAGCCTATGAAGGCAGTTAAACACCCTGGGCTTTGCATCTCAAAGAGCCCAGCCCTGCGGACCACAGCATGTCCATGCAGCCCATGTGTATTTATCTCCACCTGTACTTTTTTTTTTTTTAATTTTTTTTTTCAACGTTTATTTATTTTTGGGACAGAGAGAGACATAGCATGAACGGGGGAGGGGCAGAGAGAGAGGGAGACACAGAACCGGAAACAGGCTCCGGGCTCTGAGCTATCAGCCCAGAGCCCGACGCGGGGCTCGAACTCACGGACCGCGAGATCGTAACCTGGCTGAAGTCGGACGCTTAACCGACTGCGCCACCCAGGCGCCCCACCACGTGTACTTTTAAAAGCAGTCAGAAGTTTGGAAACCATCCCCTTTGGAGGAAGCTATGCTAGGCTGGGTGTTGATGGGGGTCTTGGTTCTGTTTGAGGCTGACTTGCCTATCTCTCACGCTTCTAGGACCTTCTCAACGACCTGTTTGCCATTATTTTCCTTGTGGGGGCCGTGGTCATAGCTGTGAAAAGTCGACAAACCATGCCACTGCACTACTTTATTGCTGTGGTGAGTCTTTCATGTTGGGCAGTTTATTTGCTCAAAAATCACCTCTTTTAGGGGCGCCTGGGTGGCTCAGTCAGTGAAGCATCCGACTCCTGATTTTGGCTCAGGTCATGATCTTACGCTTTGTGAGTTCAAGCCCTGGGTCGGCTCTCTGCTGTCAGTGCGGAGGCCATTTGGGATCCTGTCTCCCTCTCTCTCTGCCCTTTCCCCACTCTCACTCTCTCTCTCTCTCTCTCAAAAATAAACATGAAAGAAAGAAAGAAAGAAAGAAAGAAAGAAAGAAAGAAAGAAAGAAAGAAAGAAAGAAAAGAAATCACCTCTTTTGGAGAATGGGTGTTTTCCACTGATTTAAGGAAAGGGCTTCTTTTCACAAAATTTTGGGACCCATGCAAAGTTTAAAACTAAAGGTGGTAAATGCTTCCAATGAAAAAACCACTTAAATAAAGATGATGTCCAGGGAGCCAGCCAATCTAATGGCTTTCTCCTCCTAGCTGCCCCAATCCCTGAGGCAAAGGGTCACACCCAGGCCACTGACCATGGGTTTTAAGAGACAGGCACAGGTGGAGAGGGGTGGAGCAGGGAGGAGAGGGAGGCTGAAGCTGGAGGAGGGGCAAACTCAGAATGTCTCTGGTTGAGAAGTCTAGGAAGAGGAAAGGACGTGTTAATCAGCACCGCAGACGAATTAGAAACAAGGAGAGAATATGCCAGCTTTGGAATGAAAAGCAAAAGTAATGGGCATCCTTTTTTCCCCCAGATCCTAATTGGAATGGCTGGAATGTTTGCTTTAATGGATATGTGTCTTCAAAGAAAACATTTCAAAGGCAAGAGGCTCAAAACCAATGTGCTGTTTCCTCCAAAAAATGAACGAAAGGTTGAAAAGCCAAAGGAAGCAGAAAACCCACCAGAAAAGGCACCAGAAAAGGCAGAAAAGCCAAAGGAAAAAGTAAAGGGAGGCAAGAAATGACGCAAAGGAGACCCCTGTTATCAAAAGTGGCAGTGCGTTTTACGACAAATATTTCCAGTTTATTGTCTTCTCTCTAGAATGGTTTTCTTTTCCATCCTAATAACCAACTTTGCTTGAAAAAGAAATTCCTCTTTAAATGGACTTTAAAGCTTAATGTTGATCTAAACATTATTTTGTTCATTCAACAAAAGTTACTGAAAGTTTTGGTGCAGTGGGCAAGACCAGAGATGGGCCTCTCAGGGTGCCTGTAGGCCACAGGGCACACAAGGTTTGGGGTACCCATAGCGTGGGTGACAGAGGCTGTCAACAGTGACCAGCCAAAGGGGCCAGAGGAAAACAACAGACTGGAAAACAAAATGGACATTTTATTCACATTAATTTTTTTTTTTTTTTTTTTGAGGTTGGGGAGAGAGAGTAGAGGAGGGGCGGAGGGAAGAGAGAGAGTCCCAAGCAGGCTCTGCACCGGTCGGAGCTCATGACCTGAACCAAATTCAAGAGTCGGGTGTTTAACCGACTGAGCCACCCAGGTGCTCCCACATTGATATTTACATTTTTAAAAAGCATCCAGGTAGTCGCTATGAGAAAAACAGACTGCTGGCCTCTCTTACTTTTACTTTGTAGCTTAGCATCGGTTCTCATTTGAGGTGTACTCAGGAAGAGGGCAACAGGGGTGGTATCATCCCCTCAGGGCTCAGGGCCTCTACCAGCCAGAGTCAGGCTCGCATCTGGGCCAGTCAGCTTGGGCACAGGAGGAACTGGGAGCACTCAGGTTCCCTCAGAGATGGCCAGCCAACCCTCTGGGACCTGCAGGGTCTCCCTCAATAAGGACCTGAGCATAAGCCCTGAGCTAGGCTCAGCTGGGCACCACAGCCACAGTTCCCACTCACAGGCCTCGGTCAGGGCCCCAGTCTTACTGGACAGACCGACCATGAGGCAGGAGAAGGGTCATCCTCATGAGAGGAAAGCAAGGTCCCACACTGATGCATGAGGAGCTGGAAGAGATGGGGGGTGGGGAGTAATGGGGTGCCCCCTCCCCCCAGCCTAGCCAGGAACAATGTGAGAGACAGGCTGAGAGGGTCAACTGGGCCGTGAGAGCCATGCTAGTGGCTCGGGCCTCTGTCCTAAGTGCCACATTCAGGTGGGGAAGCAGGTGGAGCCCAAACTTGGATGGCCCCAGCCATAGGGCCTCCACCATTCCAGTCATTACTCCCTCTGTAGCCCCCACAGCACCCCCTGCAGGCCAGGCAGGGTGAGGCAACCCTGCTGAAAGTGGGAGCAACTACAGGGAGTTACATTGTAAAGAAAAACTCAAAAATGCACCCTATCCTGCCATGTGACCCCAAATTCCTCTCCTAGGTATTGAGCCAGGAGGAATGGTATATTAGAATTTTTATAGTAGCCAAAAGGCAAAAAAGAGCCTACAGGTTCAAAAGGAGATAAACCCAACTGTGCTCCATTCATAAGATAGAAATCTACTCAGCAATAAAAAAGGATAGTAATACAACACGGTAATAATGATAAAAATAAAAGATTCATAATGACTCTCACATACTGAGCGAAAGAAGGCAGACTCAAAAGACATATCCTATGATTCATTTCTATGAAGCTCAAGGACAGGGAAAAATACAGCGGTTGCCTCAGGAGGTGAAGTTTGGGGACTGATTATAAAGGGGCACGAGGAGGGGGAGCCTGGGTAGCTCAGTCAGTTAAGCATCCGACTTTGGCCCAGGTCATGATCTCGCAGTTGGTGGGTTCAAGCCCTGCATCTGGCTCTGTGCTGACAGCACAGAGCCTGCTTTAGATTCTGTGTCTCTCTCTCTGCCCCTCCTCTGCTCACACTCGAGCTCTCTCAAAATAAATAAACGTTAAAAAAAGGGGGGGGGGGCATGAGGGCATGAGAAAGTTCTTTATTTTCATTAGGGAGGTGGTCACATAGGTATATACATGTGTCAAAACATTCAACTATATACATAAAGCCT